TAATTTGTTTCCAAAACCCCGCAGTCAGGACATGCTATATTGTATTTAGATAGAAGCTAGCGAGCTAACTTCATGCTAACTTCTAACTCCGTTAAATGTCATAAATTCCGTTTTCATGGATGCCTGGATGCTAAACTCAATTGTTACACCTGGTAGAGCAGAACTCTGATCATTTTATTAAAGATGAAAGACTTTAGACAGTTTTTCAACTCTCAGTAATGCCATAGTGATCGTTTGATATATGGACCTGCAGCGGAGTTTAGGCCCAGACACGGCTAGTGACGTCAGACTTAACGACCGGATTGGCGTTTGAATGAACGGCAACAAGTGAAGCAAAGGATTCCTTTTCTTGGCCTTTTGTATAGCACTGTTCTTTCTATATCATTCGGCTTACTTTTTATCATATTGTAGGAATGTATTTTAATACCTTGGCTCCTTTTTTACCCAGGAGAAAACCTAGCATTAATTAAAATAGGTTGAGTTGTTTCACCCACATAGGGGGACATCCAGGGCAGCCACAGAACTCCATGGAGTTATATATCTTTAAAAAAGTCTGGGATTTCCTTTGGGAACTACCAGAAGACTGGAAAATGTTGTTTGTCAAAAGGACACTACTTAGCCAGCTGTCACTACAGTACAGATAAGGTAAAGAAAATGGTTGGATGGATGGACGGACCATTTACATGTACCATGATCTTTATAGGCAACAGTAACTGGCGGATTATAAAGCATGACCCAAAACACAACAGTTAATGATTTTTATGATTTTGGAATGTCAAGATAAACTTCCTACAAAGGAGTCTGGCTGGCTGCAATAGGAGTGAAGAGAACAAAATTAGTTGAGGCACTGTTTTGAGCTTGTAACTGGTTATTTGGACTAGAGTGAGTTTTTACTTAAAGAGTCCAAAGTGAGAACAACAGGGTGGAACGACTGGAGGATGGACAGGCAGGTGGGTTTGAGAGGTGAGTACTTAACTAAGACTTTCCAAAAGAGCCAGATCAGCATGATAGAAAGAGGTAAGTGATACAGGCAGAAAGTGAACTCTTCAGCTTTTCAGGGGCAACTACGTAACAAGATATCAAAGACGTTAGCACAGGGGGGAACTTTGGAAATTACAGGAGCCATAGAGAAGCCTGAATGCTGCTCTACTATTGAAAAAATATGTCAGAGATCGGATGTTTTAGTTGGTCTTTAAGTTCAGATAGGAGATGAGGAACAGGTCAAGGAATGGGCACGAACAGGAGACTCCATCTACAGGTCAAACCCATCCTTTACCTAAAGAGCTATGTCAGTAAAAAGCATGGGGAAAATCCCCTGAACAGTACAGGACCATGACAACATTTTCAAACCACAGCCTACTTTAACTATTTTAACTTTCTCTGATTTGTGTGAACATCAAAACCTTCTGAACACCATATTTCATACCACAACCACCATTTTTTGTTGGACCAAGGTTAAGGTCTTTGTTTGCAGGGGTGCTTCACATCTGTAATTTCAGTTTGCATCCAATGGGAACCTTGAAGGCAACAAGTAATCAATAAGGTGTGAAAGGACCACATTAGTGACTTCTACAGAGAGCTGTTTGCATGCTTGCTCTGTGAAATGTCATCAAAATCAGAAGAATCAGTTTTCCAGAAGCCCCATGCCTGCACAAGATTACATGGAAACCCAGCAAATAGTTCTTGAGGCACTTACAATCTTGATTTAAGAGGTGTACTCCCGATTCCCAGAACTACTGGAAAAGCATTGATTAAAAAAACCCATCTTCAAGCAAAACAATCAGATTGGGGTGGGTTTGTTTTTTAAAAAAAAAATATAGCTTCAAAACAACCAATATAAACATTCTTTAAACAACAAAGAGAATTGCTTTCACTTGGCTGATGATATAGAGGCAACAGAAGAAGAACGCTAACCCTAACCCAGGTTAACTAGGAGGCTTGAGCTCAACCTCTTTTAAGATAAACTTTCACTTGCCATTTAATTGGACTTTTTTGGTTAGATTAAGGAACATAAACTATGTGGTTTGCCTAAAAATGTTCTCCTTTTAAATTGTAAGATAAAATGACCAACCTGGTTCAAATCCATGTAAAAGTGACCACATCAGAACACACTGTACTCGCACCAGCTAACGAGGCCACAAGAACATAACTTTAAATAAAACTTGTAATAAGAGCTTGCACAAGCAACCTGTGGGTTTAGTCTCCTTATAAATAAGATGAACCCCTCCTCCAGAATTCACAAAAGAGATATATTGTTAAATTTGTGACTTTTAGATAAGCTGACATGACTTTTGTTTTCATCAAACAGAATATGCTAGCCATTTCAGCCTATTTTCTGTCTTTGAGCCAAGTTCAACTAACAGACTGCTCAAAATGGGGAACTGCTCTTCTATTCAAAGTCTTAGCAAGAAGGTATAATAGTGATTGGTTATACCAGACAAATAATCTAAGTAGGTGCCTTTTTACCTGAGTCTGGAGGCGACAGCACCTTGTTGATGGGGATCTTGTTAAGTACTTCTGAAAGACTCCCTGTGTGAGTTGTCTTTCTTACTGCAGCAAGTCTCCATCTTATCACCTGCTGGGTTAATTTCAACATGCGGATTTTGAAGGGACAGATTTGAATCAGTTCCTGCCCTTTGACCCTCTATGAGCCTTTTTTCCCCAAGTTCTTTAATGTGGTTAAAATGATAGCACACCATGTTTCCCCATCTTTAATAACCTTAATTCATCAAATCTTTAAATGTACTAAATGAGGTTTGTCACCTTTTGCTTCCCTATTAATGGACTTATACCACATCTCCTGTGACCTTTGATCTTATATGTTGATGTGTCCCTGTGGGAGGCATGATGATGATTTTGTACATTAAACAATTGTGAGCTGGCAGCAAAATACTCTCTCCCTCAATATATAAAGCAGCTTAAAGTCCAATCATACCAGTTGTTAAGGCAAGGCTCAACTGGCGAAGGTCTTAAGAAATAAACATTGTAGATACCATGATCTCTGTCTACTCTGTCTTCTTAACTCTGCTGCTTTTCACTGAACTGAGCAGCCACTCAGTCACCGTAGCCATGCCTGCAACTAATGCAGAGGATGGTACAACAGAAGAAGACGGCCTGGGTTTGATACTGGGTGACGAGTCAATCTCTGAGCCCGCTGTGATCCCACCGGTGTTCAGGCAGCGCCGAATCAGGGATGAAGATGGGAACCCAACAATCATCATCTCGGTAAGTGTTGCAACTTTCATCATGCATTAACGTTATTCCTTTTTGTTGCAACTTTTTAGCCTTTATTGTTATCGCACAGTGGAGACAAGATCTCCCATTTCTTTTCCTTTTCCCCTGAACCCCAAATGGTGTGGGCAGATGGCTGCCCCTCCCAGAACCTGGTTCTGCTGGAGGCTTCTTCCTGTATGAAAAGAGTGTTTTTCCTCCATTGTCAACTGCTTGGCTTCAAAGGGGTTCGTTTGATTGTATTATTGTAGGGGTCTATGCCTTTCAATATAAAGTATATAATGCCTTGAAGGGATTTTGCACTATATAAACAAAATTGATTTAAACTGAAGAAAGAACATTTTTCTTACAGTAATATATTTGAATTGTACTCAATATACAATATATACAATATATACAATAATTTTTACTACGCTGATCCTGATAATAATCAGGTGTCAATCATTATGGTTATGTTATAAAGGATTCTGAATGGGTTGAAGGTCCAGTAACTCTTATTAAGAAGTATTAAAGTAGTTCTTCGTAGTACAAGTGTTGCTGGAACTTAAACCTGATCAGATGTCCATGCGCCTTTGAAGTAGGTGAAGTTATCCCAGAAACCTCTGTGTCCAACTAATTTTACAGCGTGGGCCAAATACAGTCCAGTTTGATCTGAAGTGGGGGAGACCAGTGAAATTTCATATAGTTTTAACTACATGTTTTATGACCGAGATACCTTAATGTAAGGAAAAGAAGTGCAATTTCAACTACACGTCTTAGTTTTTCTACATGAAAAATAAAAGCTGTTGTGGCAGCCTGACTGTTTGTGCTTGTATTGTAAGAAATAAATGTGTAAAATTACAGCAAGCAGTTCTGGTAGCTAAAATTACCAGACTGTTCTATAATTACAAAAGAGAAAGCGTTCATTAATTCTTGTAAAAAATATCCAGAAATATCTATTTTGGATTATGAAAAAACTGAAACTTTTATCTCATATAACTGTGTAGGTAATTGTCAAGTACTTTGATGTAGAATAAATGCCTGTACAGGTGGCCCTGTTGAATAAGAAATGCTTTAAAACTTAAAATTTCATCTCTCTCTCTCACTATATATATATGTATATATGTACACAATTAATAGTCTTCCTATGCCCTCATTCACTTTTTCCAAAGTTGTTCAGTGGGCCGGATTAGAGTTGCCAGGCCACTTCTTATGTTTGACACCCCTGCTTCTACACTGTTCCCATAAAGGATTCTAATTTTCCCAAAAGTCCCCACAAAACAAAGGAGCTTGTAACAAAAACACACTCTTCCTGGAATGTAATTACTAATATTGCAAAATCAGTGTTGTTCTACGTTCATCTGAGATAGTATTTCTGAGTGAATCTATGGACAAGAGACTGATATATGCTGATTTTTGGTTTGGAAATAATGAATAAAAAATAATTTCTTCTCTTTGTAAGGTGACCTTGGGTATTAGAAAGGTGCCCTTAAATATAATGTATTATTATTATTATTAGGTATGGTTCATTTTTATTCTTGAACTTGACTAGAGTTGCTCACAGTTCAATATACTGCTTAAAAAGCCGCGCACGTGAGGCTATATCCACACAAGGGAATATCTCCTTTGAAATGAAAATGAAAAATATTACCTCAAGGTCTGTCAAGAATATGGCAAAGCAAGAGGTAGGCATATAACCCTAACCGAGAAGAAAAGTTGGCCAGTCAAAAGTCAGTAAATAATAATGCACTGCAGTCTGACATTAGAAAAGGAGGTAAAGTTCCACACCATTGATGTTGCAAGAAAAAAAATCTAAATTTTCGTTGTTGACAAAAGGCCAAAATACCCATGTACATACTCTGAAATAATAATTTATTTTTTTACAAACACCCACAGAAAATATGGAAAAAACAATTAAAGGTCCACTTTTCACAATACTAAAAGGCTACTTAACCAAAGACCAACCCTGCTCCGAATCCCCACGTAAACATAGTCTTACACTCTCCTGAACAGGGATGTCGAGCTCTCTTGACATTGTGGGCCACATGCCGAGCCCACTTTGATATAAAGTAGAGCGGACCTGTGAAACTATGTGCTAAATGTGTAAAATGACAAAAAAAAAAGTTATGGAAGTTTATTGCACAGACTGTCCTGTATTTAGAAAATAAAATGTTTTCATTCATTCACAGTGGAATGGATATATTCTGGCGCCCAGGCCTTATGTTTGACACCCCTAGGGTAAGCACTATAATTAGTGCTTAAAGAAAATTATAACCAGCGATTTTGATTCTTTTTTGGATCAAATTAACTTAACAGCAAACTATCCACTGTCATTCAGCCTAACACTGTTCTGCCAGTGACAGTCATGCCTCATAAATCTTCATTGTATGAGATTTCTTTTCATAAACAACCTCAGCTAACCATAGTTCAACAACAAAGAGCACATTATCTCCATCCTGTGACTGAATACTTGACCCCTTTCAATTGGCCACCGTTCTTGCTTCTACTGTTAAGTCAATACTTCACATACATCTATAAAAATATTTTACGGCAACGCTGGAAAACTGGGAAATATTATTAAGCGAAAAGGTCAAATGATCACAAGGCTATAAAGATTTATTGGACTCTCAGTGGGAAGAATGACGATATATCAGTGTTTCCCCCAAATGTTTAGCGGCGATGTGTAAAAGGTTTATCTGCAGACTGCGTCTTGTGTGTTATGAACAGGGTGGTTATCTCTGTGGTAATGGGAAACAGGCAGCCATGATGGAGACAAAGACATCTGGGCGAACCAGAGCTGTGGAAGAAAACGGGCCACTGTGATATAGTAAAAAATGAGGGAACACATTTCTTCCATTTGGGGTTCTTGTGGCTTGGATCAGCTGGTAAAAGCAGATCCAACACCTGTACTACAAGTAAAAAGGATAATCTTTAAAAGCTGTTCCTACAACCTGACCATCCAGAGTTCACATCCTACAATACGGGAATGTGTGTGTGGGCTCCGGGTGTCACATGTAATCACTGATCAATATGATGTTTTTCAGGATGCAAGGCTGAAAGGGCACAGTGTTCGAGGGCTGAACCCGGCCTTCACTCGGAGCCTTCCTCTACACGCAGATCGAAGCCTGAGCCACACTCCTGCCGAGTACAGTGTGAAGATAGATCGCAGAGATACCGACCTTGACAGTAAGCATATGGAAAACCAGCATTTCTTGGAAAATAAACTTTATTTTTTTTAAAAAAATGCCATATAAACTCAACTGTTCTATGTGGTTTCCTTTCCTAACCTAGTGCTGCGATGTATGATTGGAAGAGTGTACCGGCCCTGCTGGGAAGCATGAGCGACGTCAATGAATGTTTCCTCCTGTATGGTATAAGAAGATTAATTTACTTGTAGGAAATAAAGCAGACAAACATGGAAAACAAAATAAAAGTTTATTAACAATTGCAAGCTGTGTGTTTAAAGAGTGGATGTAAATGGTAGAATCTTGAAAATAATTGAAAGGTAAAATTTACATACTAGCAGTGATGATATACATTTTATTTCCAAGAAGGCATTATTAGACTCATTTTAAAATTGATTAGTGATAAAGTGCAATGACCAGCTTGCTTTTCACCTAACAATGTTGGACATTTTAGTGGCCAAGTAATATTATTTATACTTTTGACATTTTCAGAAAGAGTTAAATAACACTGTTGCACACATTTTATACGAAGTCTCAGTGTAGCTTAGCATAAAAATATTTAACTCTTAACAGCAATCACTAAGTCACTAAAGATCACATGATATTTTACCATGTGCATGTGTGTATATATAAAATACTCAAGGTTAAACAAGATGACAAATGACTCTAAATGGCAGCCCAAGCTGGAGTATACTCGTAGTACACAAGCTTCAGCTGCTTCATATAAATATCTGATAGAAAAGTCCTTATTGTGTCATCGTTAGTGCAAACACTGGTTAGACTCTGAAGAAACTGGTCAGCTTCCCTTGTCCAGCTATGAGCTTCTTCTTACTCAAGGCCTTGCTGCCATTTTTGCCAGGCATTTTGACTGATGTGCGAGTTGGCTGTTTCTTCTCCGGAGGCTCATTTTCAGATCCACCGTGTTGGTCAATATCCAGCTGCTTTCTCTTGTTACCCCTGCTTTGCATCTTAAAGCCAGTTCCCTTTCCATTAACCAGGCTTGCACCTTGTTTTGGGGCATTTCCACTTCTTTGCTTGAGAGCAGCCCCCCGCTGTATCTCACCCGGTGCCTTATTTGTACATTCAGAGGACTTGGCTGCAAATGTAAAAGAAAAACAAAAATAAAATAAATAATTAAAAAGCAAAAGTAAGTGTGACAAGTTGGTAGGGGGGAAAGGGAAAAATGTTGTGACGAAATTGCTTACGTTAGCTGCTAGTTGAAGCAGGCTGTGTGTTTATTCTCTGAACCTGAATTTCAACATTTGTCATGTTAACCTGATGGAGCAGAGCCTGAATTCCCACGGAACAAAAAGCAGAAGGGGGAAATGGGCAAAAAGTCTGTACAAGAGTGTGTGCGTGTTTTGGTTTTTTACGACAGATGTGGGGGTGAGGAGGTTTTATAGAATGGGAATTAATTTAACAGCAAGTTGTAAGTACCAGTCCCACAACTGGGACTGGGAAGGCTCCAAGGCCGGAGCTGAGAAGGTGAGCCTGGGCCTCAGTCCAGCTGTGTGCCGTCAGAGGAAACAGAAGTCTGTTCCAGCAGATAAAATGCAGCACGTCTTGTTCTGACATTTGACATGTTGTTGAGTACAAAAAAATAAAAGATGGTGGTGGGGTAGGGGGTGTAGCTTGTAAAGAAAACATAACCTTTTACCTTTTGTTGAGTCTTCCACATCAGAGCTGCACCCATCATCCACAGATGTGGTGGTTTTAGCTTTGGGTGCTGGGTGCACGCAAGTGGGAACCTGGCTAGTGCTCGGGAAGTCCAGCACACGGTTGAGAGGGAGCTCTTCGTCATTGTAAGTGCAGGCAAACTGGGATCGGATGACTCTCTCTCGGACCTGGAATAAATGCAAAACAACTTAAATCCAGCTGATATGGCGACTGGTGATCAGTATCAGCAACTCAGGGCAGGTGGCCGAGATTTTTCTGGCCCTTTCTTTTGGCGTTTTGAAACAAAGACCCCTTTAAGTACTTTTCCACTCTTGCTCAGCGAGTTTCAGCAGCTGGATCTGCTAATTAGCACTGAAGTACACAAACTACTTCTTTCTTTCCTTGCTCTGATATTGTAATCAAATGTATTATAGGCCAAACCTAAAAGGGAACATGCATATCTGCACTAAAATTCGTGGAAATCCAACCAACGGCAGTCAAGACATTTCACAGAAAGCACAACTTCTGTTGTGTTAAATCAGAAGAATTTTTGGCACACCTCAAAGAGGTTTTCTCTGGAGCTAAAGGAAAATTACCAGCGCTGCAATAAAGTTTTATTTTTTTTAAACCACTTTTGTTGAGTGGGGTTTCATGTACTCAAGTGTAATATTCTTTTCTTTTTATCATCAAGAAAATGCGTCAATTTCTGTCAAATAAGGTAGCACAAAACAGTCTTGCTTACGTCTGAAGTAGCCCCCAAAAACGTGACTCAGAGCCAGAAAAAACACAATGTGTGAAAAGTATGGGGATCACTAAAGTCATTAGTATCAATTACCATTATTAGGTCATTGTAATCCATCCAATAGGTACTCAGATCTTTCAATAACAAAAACAATAAAAGGGTATGTTTTTTAATTAGGGGATAAGATTTCTGTCTTTTAAAGCATGTTTTATGTTGGGGGGGTTTTTTTTTGAACAACTAAAAGTTTAATATGTTGCTGAAATCCCAGAAATGAGAAAGATGAGATTTTCTTTTCTAGCCAACTGATATACTGTGCATTGCTCCTATCAATTACCACATCCTTTAAATTAAAAAAAAAAGAAAGAAAGAAAAACCTAACAGCCAAGTTTCTATAACAAAGTGAATGATATTGAAGCCTACAATCCCAGCCCAGGGGCACACACAGATCCACAGCTTTTCATCCACTGTTTGATGTACGCCTGCTTGGGATTATCACAATCCAGGGATTTCACCCTTCAGGCCAATGGGCCACAGTAAGGAGAAGAAATGCGAGAGAGCAAAGCTTGGTGGGTCCGCGGAGCACAAAGGGGATCAAAGCCTTTGTGCTTCTCAAAAGAACTTCTTTAAAGAGGACCTAAAACAACAGAAAGCCCAGCACCGAGGCACACTTCAGTAACGGAGCTACTGGTTGCATGCTAATAAAACCTAAAGAAGATGGAAGGGGATGGAAGAGCTGCACGGCCAAACTATGACCCACAGAGAACATCTAATCCAATTACAACAGGTGGGAGCCTGACATGGCACCTTGTGGTCACATAGCCCTCATTCTTCCGAACACAAATGTCCTGAAATAACCTACGCGCACCGTTTGACCCAACACCTGACCAAAACATTCCTGATAGCATTTTCAAAAGCAGGTGCAAGCCATTTCTGCAGCTTTGTGTTCTGACATCTGCTTTTGTAGAAGTGAGAACAAAGCAGTAGCAGGTGCAGCGGCACCAGAGCTATATATAAAATAAAATGCATATATAGCTAAAGGTGAATGCACCTCATTTGAACATCGTTACTTGTGTCACAGAGAAGCAGGAGTTTTTCTCGTGTTTTTCAATGTTTTGATCATCTGTGGCAATAGTGGAAGGAAGAAAGAGGAGGAAAAGAAAAGAAAAAGACCTGGAAACAACCCAAAAGCAGAAACTAAATCTGTCCATCTCTGTGTGTGCCGGTTGACGTCAGTGCATGATGAAACCGCTGGAGAAGTCTAGGATAAAGTCATTTAGCAGACAACAGGAAACAATAACCTTTCAAGTTTCCCTTGCTAGTCGAGTTACGCGACTGATATGGCATCTTCAAAGTGAAATTGATGCAGAAAGCTTCCGCTCACCGAGTTCAGGAAGCGGTGAGCTGCCCAGGGACCATTACAGCGCACTCAAACAGGAAGGCAGCCAGATTGTGGGGAGCTAAAATGACATCTGGTAGCACAATCAAATAAAGGAGCTATTTCACAAAATGTGTCTAGCATACATCTTCTAATAAGTGCTTCACACTTCATGTTTGCTTAAAGGATAATAGCTTGCAATTTAGAGCTGGGTGATGCAGAAGCACTACCCTAAAAATACCTTCTTACCACCACAAGAAAAATAAAATGGCATTATATTCTGAGAAATAAGTTGTCTTTTTTTTTTGTTGCTACAATCAATTTTCAGTTTCAGAAAATAGCATATTTTAGCAATTTGATCTGAGTATTACATTTCACTCAGTGTTACTCATAACAACAGTCACAATCTTTACCCTTAAATATAAAGCAATATTTTAAGGTAAAGACAATAATACAAACAAAACAGAAAACCACCAACAATCTTGATTCCCTATGAGCAAGCACTTTGGCCACAGTGGGAAGGAAAAACTCCCTTTTGACAGGAAGAAACCTCAGGCAGAATCAGGCTCATGGAGGTGCAGCCCTAATTGAGACCAGAAAGAAGGACAAACAACACACTAGGATTTAAGATGTAAAGTGTCTGAAATCTGATACTAGACAGAATCTCCAAAACTGCAGATCTTTGTCTGTAGTGGTCAGTATCTATGAAAACCAGCCCAAGGAAAGAACCAGGTGGAATAGGGCAGCCAAGGCTCAATGATGTACTTGAGGAGTGAAGGTTGGCTTGTGTGGCCTGACCCTCACAAGCTCTGGGCAATGTTGTAGTAGGAAACCTTGGGACTTGCCATCCATGTGGATGTTACTTTGATACGTACCACCTATCTAAGTATTGTTGCAGACCATGGGCACCCTTTCATGGAAACAGTATTCCCCGATGGCTGTGGCCTCTTTCAGCAGGATGATATGCCCTGCCACAAAGCAGAAATGGTTCATGAATGGTTTTGAGGAGCACAACAAAGAGTTTGAGGTGTTAACTTATCTCCAAAGATCTCAATCCAGTCAAGCATGTGTGAGATGTGCTGGTCTAGCTGACAATCCAACAAATCCAAACGTCCATCCATCCATCTTCTTCCGCTTTATCCGGGGCCAGGTCGCGGGGGCAGCAGCCTAAGCAGAGAAGCCCAGACCTCCCTCTCCCCAGCCACCTCCTCTAGCTTATCTGGGGGAACACCAAGGCGTTCCCAGGCCAGCCGAGAGATATAATCTCTCCAGCGTGTCCTGGGTCTGCCCCGGGGCCTCCTCCCGGTGGGACATGCCTGGAATACCTCATCCAGGAGGCGCCCAGGAGCCATCCTTGTCAGATGCCCGAACCACCTCAGCTGGCTCCTTTTGATGTGGAGGAGCAGCGGCTCTATTCTGAGCCCCTCCTAGATCGCTGAACTTCTCACCCCATCTCTAAGGGAGAGACCAGCTCATTTCCGCCGCT